TAGCTTCGACCGCATTGACAGTTTCCACGAGTTTGTCATTCATATCGTTCACTTCATTACATTCTTCTAAGCACTGAAAACGATTTTGTAACTTGGGCTGAAAGTTTTCGGGAATTCGGATTAGAGCACTCGGGGCTCAACCAAATCCACTTTCTTTGAGGCCGCTTCAGGAAGAAAGAGTTCATCATAAAGAGTGCCTCTCTCTCCATGAAACTGGCCAGTTGCTAGCTTCTTGGACTTTGCCTGCCCTACTTTCTCTCCTTCCAGTCTTACGGTGAAGTCTCCCATTAACACCGTATACGACACTTAAGGGAAGTAAAAGGGACGGGAAGTGTATTATATCTTCATCAGCCGGCGAAGATCCACTGCTCGGCGCAACATTGGGCAGGTAGATTGGCAGTCACTCGCATTATCAGACATCAGTTCGTCGCCGGTCTTCTAATTTTACGTATTCGTTACGTTATCGAGTTGGTCATGGCGGAAGCTTTGAGATCTATAAGGGGGTTTCCGAAATCGCACCTGACGAAACGAATGACATGAATATTACGTTAAGTAATTATTTTTTTAAGATAATGGAATTATCGGACAACAATGTAATAACATGATACAAGTTATCTATAAAATTAAAGTTATTTATATTTCGTGCTTTCGAGCGGTTGCTATGGTGCTTACATGGGTGTGTCTTGATAATTATTTTCTCAGCGTTTGATTGGTAAAGCAGTTTTGAATCTGTGACGTCATGCTATCTTTAAAAACATAATATTTGTTATGAGTTAAGGAGCCCTCTTGGTCATGTTTTGCAAGAGGATATCGCAGTTCATTCTGTTTTCCACTATTTATCTCTTATTCGATGAAAATAATACTTGCTATTAATAACATGTTTGTCGTGTATCAAGTGCGCATGCAAACTTTAGCCAAATAAAACAAAAATTGTTCTTACTATGTATTGACTATGATCTGTTTTTGTTAATAAACATTTTAAGATAAAAGGTCTGTTTTATGGTACGTACATTGTACATACGTCATAGAATAAGCTCGTTAAGTCCACTACCAGAAAACTTCCATGCAGGGGTTATTTGTTTAATCGTTTAAAGCCATCATAGAAGAATGTCATGTTTTGCGTCGGCGCACGAAACGAAAAATTACATTAAAACATATTTAATTAAATATCCAAATAAATGTTTTTTGTGATATTATTAAAATATTCAAAATTGATATATCTAGTTTAAAAATTGTTTCTTTTTTAGGTTGGTATATTATGACGTTTTTAGGGTTCCGTAGTCAACTAGGAACCCTTATAGTTTCGCCATGTCTGTCTGTCCGTCTGTCCGTCCTCGCTTAATCTCTGTGACCGTTAGCACTAGAAAGCTGAAATTTAGTACCAATATGTGTATCAATCACGCCGACAAAGTGGTAAAATAAAAATTGGAAAAAAAATGTTTTATTAGGGTAGCCCCCCCTATATGTAAAGTGGGAAGTGAATTTTTTTTAATTTCAACCCTAACGTGAGATATATTGTTGGAAAGGTATTTAAAAATGAATAAGGGTTTACTAAAATCAATTTTTGATAATGTCAATAATTTCGGAAATAATCGCCCCAAAAGTAAAAAACAATGTATCCCCCCCTCTAACTTTTGAACCATTAGTTTAGAAAATATGAAAAAAATCTGAAAAGTAGAACTTTATAAGGACTTTCTAGGAAAATCATTTTGAACTTGGATGGAAACAACAGTACCCACTACCGGGAGCAGTTGCAGGAGCGCGGAGCGCTGCTGGAGCGCGAACATAATGGATACCCACCTTTAAACTCATAAGTGGGAACACTTGTTGTGACGGACGGGAAACTACGGAACCCTACACTGAGCGTGGCCCGACACGCTCTTGGCCGGTTTTTTTATTTACTAACATCATCATATAAGGGGTTCTACGTAGGCATTATAATGTACGAAATTATCACATTCTAACTCCAAAAAGATATATAAAAAATCTAACTTTGGTTTTTTATTTTTTATTTCCATAGTTGGATTTAAAACCTTGATTTAAAAATATGCCCGATTCTATGTTAATGACATTTTTAAACTTATTTTTAAATCCAGACTTTTTTGAAAAATGAAAACCTTTTCTTGTAAGATCTTGGAGATTAAATTCTAATTTGTAATTTCTGTAGTTTTAGAGACGCCATAAAACAATTCGACATGGCGAACTTGGGAAACTCATGCCGAAAGATTGGTAGATTTTTAAATCTAGACTTATTTTTATAGAATAAAGGTGACAAAAGAGCATACAGTCCACCTGATATTAAGTAAATTCTGTGGCGGATATACTTCTACAATCCGTCAACGATTAGGAATCAAAATGCAAATGTGTTATCACCCCTGAGAACCAAGATCGAATGTCTCGTTTACAGTAAAAAGGATCTCCGGTTCTTTCAACTCACCATACCAGCGGCAGCATTGAGCTGGTATAATACGCTGGTATTTTGTGAGACTGTGGTCCTTCCTCGGTCGAGCCGACCCATTCGCGCTACATTAATACGAGCTAATATCGCTGCAGCATGGCTCGACCACGTTAAACGTTTACTTCTTATTTTAACTACTTTTCAACACCCAATGTCATAACTTGTGCTACCTAACTTATAAATAGAAAGTAAAACTGAGTCCTTGTGACCATGGGCGCTGCAAAACACTCAAAACTTTGGTGTTTTGTAATGAGTTCGTAAGTTAAAAATAAACGTCAGAGAAACTGTTTTTCATAAGTAATATTGCGTAATTTTAATTTTGGAGCAAATTGACACACCGTGATATTAATCCGATACAAAACATGAAAGGGCGAGAAGTCTCAAGAATAGTAGAATCGTAAATACATAATAATTTTACATAATATGGTACGGCTACAATTCTTAACGTCGTAGGTTCGATTCACACAGAAGGAGTATTAATGTCAAAGAGATTTAAATATATATATTTTCTACTACCTATTTAAATGTCTTTGATTAACGTTAACAGCATTACAAGTTTTTTTTAATACAGTCAAATAGATTAGCATGATACAATAACATGTGACGTTAGAAATTACTACATTTGATGAATTCATGAAAACAGTTTTAGTTCCTTGAACTATTACTTATTCTGTGGTTTTAGGTAGATTTACACATACAATATTGGACGACGTGAAACTATAATCGAGCTTTTACTGTTTTAAAGATAAATATGAAAAGTTTTATCCTTTTATGAATCTGTAAATGCATGACCATCGTTTTTTTTGCTTTAACGCTACTCTGTTTTCTTTTTTTTCCGGTCCGGAATATAATACAAAAATAAATAAATTAAAGGTGATAAAATCCGTGGCATTCGTGGCATTTAATATGCATTATTCGGTTAAACATACAAATCATTACAAGTTTAGGATACATGTTACTCATCAGCCAAGGGACAGTTTCTTCAATCTTCTTCTTTTCATGTAAATACTATTTTAGTTCTTTATAATAAAATTTAGATTCACGACTTAAGTCTCTGAAGATGCTTTGTGATATTTTTCCAATGTTAAACCTAATTTGTTAATGATCAACTTTATGTAAGGAAAAAATTAACGTGAAATTATAATTATATTATATATAGAAGAAGATTAGGAGTGTAACGTGATTATTAAATTTTTACTTGTACCTAACTGGATAAGGAATAGAGATATATTGTGTTAGATGATAGGTTGTTTATTAGATAATATATACATTAGATAATAATAGCTCTTCTCCGCAACTTGGATTTTATAGGTTTTAATTTTTTTTGCACGGAACCCTAATTGTTTTTCTAAAATAAAAGTAGCCTTAGTTACTCTATATAAAATCAGCAATCTGCCAGTGAAAGTCCCGTCGAAATCGGTCCAGCGAATTCGGAGATTAGCCGGAACAAACAAACAGTTAAACATAATTTTTAAAATCGTTTTTTTGTTATGAGTATCGTATATACTTTTATATACATTTAGTAAAATGCTGTTATTTTTACATTACAAACAGACCTTAATTTTATTTATTTCTGACGGGAATAAATATCCTTTTTCAGTGCCTAATAATCTTATTAAATTAATTTGAAACAATATTTCAACCATTTTATTCGTACAACTGTAATTTTTAACTTGTTTGTATGTTGTATTTTATCATATGACTAACTTTTATCTGATGATTAAAGAATCAGCCCTCACGGAGAAGTACAAAAATGCTTTATAACGCTTATACTTGAAATAATATCTGGAAAAAAAAATACTTTCTGGTGGACAGTAGTATCTATTTCCAAATAAACTTAATTTAAACACAAGTTTTTGTATATTATCTTTTAATGTTATCACATAAGATTTGTAGCATCGCGACATCTGGGCGTTTCTTTGACGTAATATCATTCGACAGATATCGTTAGTATATATATTGACGTTTTCATTCGCCCGTTGTATTTTGTCCAATACTTATCTAAGCTTATTACCTTGAAACCCCCGAGATATATTCAAACAAATTGTACATATTGACTCAGTTATTGTATATAACCGTGTTACAGTATTCATATTTAGCAGCTAATTAATAATTTTTACGAAATGTGTTGCTATAAAAATAACGGAATGTGTGACCTGTGCAGAGATTTTCAATTAAACCTCCTACAAAGTAAGATACGCGTTCTATCTAAGATCATTATTGTTTTATTAACATATATAATTATTAATTTAATGATCGGAGTATTTTATGACATAAATTAGAAGAAAATCATGCAGAGAATATTAAAGAAAAACCTTATATGTTGAAACATATAGTATTTTATTAGCCTTATATTTTAATTAACGTATTTATTATTATATTGTATATTGAAAGAAACATCTAACATTTTTAATATTATTTTATGAAACAAATATAAGTTTTAATAAATATGCATATAAATTATTTTGTTATTTGTTAAGAAATTATTTAAATATTAAGAGTACTTATAATTACATTATTCCTTTTTATTTGTCTTTAACAGATCTACTTAAAACATTTCCGAGCGCTGCACCGAAGATCGAAGTTGAAAAATTCCAACTTCAGGATGACGGCACTAACAGTCTTTATCCACCATCACCTCCTGAAACGAAGCCAAGTCGCGCCGACCTTGCTAATGATCTTCTGCAGCAGCTAGAAAATAACTGCAAACAAGGTTGGTTTCATTTAAATTGTCTGTTTTAGATGATCAAGAGTTCAGCAGCATTTAAATTAATTTCTTTTGCAACATTTGTTTAAATGTGTTTATTGCCTGACCTATCTAGAAGCATTATAATTACAGTGGGCCCGGTAATCCGACAAACATTTGCGGGGCAGTGTCCGACTATCGAATTTGTCGGAATATAGAGTACTGCCTAAGACCTCTATAGTCCGATTTTTTTTACAAAAGAGTACCTTGTAATCCGACAAATTGCAGATCCAGTTACACAGTTATATATATGTACACTGAAGTACAAATCATACTTCATTATGTATGTCAAATTTAGTAAATTAAATAACACAACAGAAAGCTTACGTTTTATTATAAAATTAACGTCATTAAAGCTATTATAGTTCAAACAAAAAATGCAATAACTACATTTAGGAAATAATTGTGTATAAACAAATGTACATAATAAAATAATCAAAAATTATGAATCAATCAATTTAAAAAGCATCAATTAAAGAGCAGTAACGCTTTTTGAGGAAAATTATGATCTTTCAACTATTTTCAGAATCAAATTTTTCAATCAGAATCAAAACAATACCCTACGCGTCGAGCACAATATTGGTGGGGCGTACAAGTTAAAACTTGTTCAATCATGCATTAGCGAAGATTGCCAAAAAAATTCAATAATAAATAATAGACCATGTGGGATTACAGGGGGTGCCGGATTAGACAGGGGCCGTATTACCGGGGTCCACTGTATTTGTGTTATAAATAAAATATTCTGTGGTCAAACAGTCGTACAGAGTAGCGATTGTCGCCTAATAATTTATAAGTTTGCCCACACATTGTTAAAACTTAATTATGTTTGATTTGAAATGTTCCTTTTTCAATAATTTATGGAGTGTATTTTAAGGGAAAAATGTTTATTTTATAATTTGTATATGAGATATCTGTGATTTACTGTGCAGTTGAAGGTGACATGCAGCTTGCTTAATATACACACTTAAAAGTTATCATAAATTCGACCGCGACCGCGAGTTATCATAAATTCCGAAAAGAAATAATCTAGAATATTGGACTAAATCTGATATCAAAGTTTCCCTAATTTTTTACTACTGAATTCTATCATCATATTATCTATTTATTACACACTTATGTTAATAAAGAGTGGATAGGAATGTGCTATGGCAAACACTGAACTCATTTGGGTTGAGCGCTGGCTTGATACAGGCATTGGAATCTCTTTATAGGGACTCTAGTGCTTGTGTTAGGATCAACGGGGTCTACTCGGACTGGTTTGGCATCCATAAAGGTGTCAGACAGGGCTGTGTGGCTTCCCCGTGGTTGTTCAACCTATTTATGGACAGTTGTTTGCAAAATTTGAAAGTTGAAGAATGCGGATTAAGAATGGGTGAGTTAACCATCAAATGCCTTTGTACGCCGATGATCAAGTTATTCTTGCGTCGTCGGCGGCTGAGTTGCAAATGATGGTTACATTAATGAACAGATCATTAAAAGAAAGGGGTATGAAAGTGAACGCAAGTAAGACAAAAATTATGGTTTTTGAAAGAGATGAAAGTAAAACGATATGTGAAATAAGAATAGAAGGGGAGTTGATCGAGCAAGTAGATGAGTTTGTATATTTGGGTTGCGTATTTAGCAGGGATGGGAGATATGATAAGGATATAGAACGACGAGTGAACGCAGGAAACAGAGTAAATGGAGCCCTGCACTCTATTGTGAAGAGTCAAAATGTGTCAAAAAAGGCACGTATGGCAATTCACAATGCTGTGTTGGTCCCTACTTTAACGTATGGTAGTGAAAGTTGGGTATGGCAGAAGAAGCACGAGAGTAGAATAAATGCAGTAGAAATGAGGTCGTTAAGGAGTATGTTAGGGCTGAATCTGAATGACAGGGTGAAAAATTGTGTGATAAGAGAAGAGTGTGGTTTGCAAGATGATGTTGTGACCAGGATTAAGAAAGGAATGCTTCGGTGGTTTGGTCATGTGGAAAGAATGGATGAGGAAAGAGTGACAAAGAAAATTTATGTTGCAGAAGTGAATGGCAGAGTCGGAAAGGGACGTCCTAGGCGAAAATTTATCGACCAAATTGGCGATTTATTGAAAACGGGCCAAATTAGGAGTACCCTTAACCGACGAGCATGCATGCGTAGGTGTATGGATGTGAAGGAGGCGAGAGAGGTGTGTCAGGATCGTGCCAAATGGAAGTCTGTAGTCTCTGCCTACCCCTCTGGGTGACAGGCGTGAGTGTTTATGATATGATTATGTTAATAACAATTTGGTGTATAAAATAAAAATCAAACGGTCCAAAGTATTTATTTACGAAACGAAAAACGCGTTTTGTCTAGTAAGAACCAGTTTTATTGATATTTAATTTTGAGCATTAGTTTTTTCTAGGTATAACAAAGGCATTAAGTAGAAACTAGTAGTAATTAGCTAGGGAAAACGCGTTCTATATACTACAATATATTTTATATATATATATATAAAAACTTTAGGTAATTTAATTTTGAATATATGCCCTCAATCGACGCGGCCAATCATCAATCGCACGCACCACACTCCATTTCTATTCTGCCGCTGTTTTAGCAAAAGATGCTCGGAGAGATTCAAAATTCTGATGAGGTTGAGGTGAGGTTTAACGCCGACTTTCTCCTCTAAATGTTGCCATTATCTTATAATCCAGTGGACTTAAATTTGGACTAGAGGAGGGCTATGCAATGTCCTGTTGGAATATCCAAAATTTAGCGGTATTTTTTTCCCCGCGTACCGCCGTAACAAAGCGCGGGATCTATCTAGCCTAATTTTTTTCAAACGCTCGTTCAAAAAGTGTCCGGTCTTCTTACGATAAGCTCGTAGTTCTAGGTCTTCATTGATCACTCTTTTAGCCGTGGTTCGGATTAGGCTCATCTGAAGAGCTAAGATTTTTTTGTTTACGAACAGGAAATCGTTGGATTCGCGCCTTCACTGTGTCCTAACTGTACGAGGTCGGCCAGACCTCTTACGATCTTCGAAGCTTGAATCTTCAGTGAATCGTTTGATAGTGCGATAAACAAATCGTAGGGTTATTTTCAATTTTTGTAGAATATTGAAAATCTCTTATCTCTTATCTCTTCTTTATTCGATCACTCCATGTTTCAAAATGAATGAAAATAATGTCTTTTTTTATTTTCGGCATATAGTAGCTATATAGTAGCTAGTATATATATAGTAGCTATCTGCTTTTCTTCTCCATACAAACTTTAACTACATATATCAAGTGTCACACATCTCTGTGCGCGCAATATATTTAATTGGGTGTTGAATGTTACTTTTTTTCTTAAAGTACGGAAACTGCAATTTTGAAGATATCACAAATATAATGAATTGCACTTTTTTATCTCGTCGAACACGGACATACCTCTGGCGGTCGGCTACCATTTCTATCTTATAGGGATTATGTCGTGTTTTGATTTTATCTGATGTTGTGTCTGTGATATCCTGACTAAAGTGGATACCTCGAAAATTTGGTGATTTTTCTATTTCACATATTTTTGAACCAAATTTTTGGAACCAATTTGAACCAAATTTTGACTATATAACATTGGATTTAATAAAAGGAAAACACTAACTTGTAATTTTCACGATAGAAAATAATTGCAAAGTAGGCTCTAATTAGTTACATTTCTCTCTATTAGTATTTTTAAGGCATAGTAAATAAACATGGTTTACGAGAACTTTTTTAACCCATAAAAAAGTACGTAATTGATAATAACCTCTGGTGATGAGATTATAGCTACCATGATTTTCAATGTTTTCGTTACTTAATTATATAAAATATTATATTGTAAATTTTTAAAAAAATGTCCCGCTGGATTTCTTACTGGATCCTCCCAGGATAAAAGTTTTTTCCGAACTAGTGGTAAATCTTAAATGATTTTAAATAAGTATTCTGTAGATTATAGTCTATATTAAATAAAAAGAATTCTAATTTATGCTAGTCTATTATATGGTGTTTATATAATATTGCCAAGTTAGGTTGATTGACTCTTTTTCAATAGAGATACATAAGGCTGAGTTGTTTGTGACTGATATTTCCACAATCATAATCCCATTGTATAACATGTTTACCTTTCGAAAATTTCACTTACCTTTATGTAAGTAGTCGAAAATTAGTACTATATATTAGGTCTTTATACCTATGAAATTGTATTTGTTTATGAAATAAGTTCACGTAATTTTTTTTATTTTTTTTATTTTTTTTATTGATGCCTTTCTTAAAGAAATCTACTGGACGGGGGAGGTAAGAAATTTTTCAAAGGCATTTTGTATTGTCTCTCGGGTATTGAACTTTTTTACCGTCAAAAAGTTATCCAAATTCCGGAAAAATTAGAAGTCTGTATGCGCGAGGTCTGGTGTGTATGGCGGATGTCGGATAGCTTCCAACCCCAACTCTTCTAATTTGGAAACCTTTCTTGTTTTTGTTTGTTGTGCAGTATGTGGTCGCGCCCATGGGGTTCCTTTTACAGGTCAAAATTTCCTAAACGGAAGCGGGCAAACCAATAACAGGTGGTGCGTTCGTTTGCAGTATTCGCTCCGAAAACGTCGTTGATGTTGCGTGCCGCTTGTGCCGTATTGCTGCCACGACGGTACTCATATTCCATAATTACTTGATTTTTAACGTATCCATGATGACGAAACAGATTCAAATGCGATGAAAACATAACGATAATGTATAAAACAATGACTACTTTTAAAAAAAGAATTCAATTTTTTTAAGATAAAATTAATTTGAAATTTGAATTCGTAGCCAAACAAAAACTATTTTAATTTGAAATTGCCAGTACTGCAGAAGGCAATTTCATAGGTAAGGACTATTACATAAAGTAATATACATATAAAGTAATCATCATGATTCATGACATAATTTCGTGATGATTAACATAATATATATATATATATATATATATATATATATATATATATATATGTTATGGACCAAGTGAT